GCTCTTTCCTCCAACGGTCGCAGTGACAATGGCTCCCACACGCAAGCTCATGTCCCAACTACCCGATTGTGAATTGGCCCATACGCCCGCAATTGCCCCGGGTAATTCCACCCACATTGTCCCCTTGTCACGTGACTCGTGCACTCTGCAGTACCGGCTCCCATAGCAATGAGTAATCACGAGAGGTTGTCCAAGCTCTCACCCGGCAATGAGAAGGTCAATGCAGTCCGCAGGAAGAATGCCCTTTGAAAGCACTCAGCTGCTGCCGCCGTCCGTCGAACAGATGATCATGGAGAAATCGTCTTTTTCGTCATTATACGCAATCACGGGGACAAAAGCGTGCCATTCACCAAAACACCTGAGCCGCCAAAAAACTTCAATCCATCCGCGCCGCGTTCGCGAGTCTCGGGAATGATCTGTGATCACAGCAATTTGGGTTCACACCAGTGGATCAGCTCGCTCCGTCTACCGTCATTGGGCTGCGTGAATTCACCCACAACCAGTTAAACATCACGGTCTCTCAATGCCCAATTGAACCCACCATTCGTACCAAACTTTTGCTAGCTTCCCGCACGAAGAAAAGCCCCATTGCCGCTCTCAATTGTCGTGGGATTGGACGCGGAGCCTACACCACCCTTTATATTCGCTGTGCTCAACACGATGTGTGTATTCCAGCTATTATTAAACTCACCAAAAAAAGACAACAAATTCCACGCAAAAAAGGTGGAACCCGCCACAATATCCGCATGAGAAAGCCCACTCGGTGCCCCATCGCTATCACTAAGCGTCGTGTAACCCCCATCAAAGACAACCGTCACTCCACCGACACCCACAAGAGCGAGCGATCCAAACGAATCCCTCCTTCCACTTGCACCAGTCCCACCCTTCGGTTCCAAATGCGTTCGTCCCAGAACAAAAATAAAGGCCACCCACGGCAGCCGCGCAATCACTTAATTCTCCCCCGTCGATGTGGCCGCAGCTCCACCGGTGGCGCAGCACATCATCGTTACGACGAGGAGGAGGAGTACCGCAAAAGCAAAAACACGCCGGGACATGTTGGGCCTCTGCGGCTCACTCTCTCTTCCTTCCCCCCTCCTTCCGCTGGATCCGGTCACGCGGCGACGGTTGTGTGTGCGGGGTGCCTTCACAGCAGCAACACGTGAGACCATATAAATATGTGTGTGTGTGGGCGGTGTGTGTGCTGTTGGTCCTTTCAGTGCCCTCGAATTTCACAGTAGCAATTCGCGCTTGTTATTAACTTACTTCATCGTGGGGAGCAACAGGCAACAGCGGCAGAAAGGCAACACAACAGCAGTACACACCTGAAACACTCACACCGAAACACAACATCACCATCCCCGCAGCCATTATTCTACAGCACCCCTCAACAGCATACAAAAATTAGGGGAAAAAGTGAGCAGCCTCCCAATGGGGGACCGCAGGCCACGGTCCTGCAAACAAAGCAAGCGACAGGGAGCCACATGTGCAGTGAGGGATACGAGAGTTGCACTGCAACGGCACGGCGGCGTGATGCCCCGTTGGGAGCATCGATGCAGACCAGCACATCACGTGCGGGAAGAGTTGCTTCTCCCGCTGAGCAGAGAGGGGAAAAAGGCCTCAGCGCCCCAATGATGAGAGGTCGTCCGCACCTCTTCGCAGCCCTTACAGGCTCTGCAGGCAAAAAGATGCAGATGACGCTCTGCTGTGCGCATGACGGCCGTTGAATCCTTCACAATGGCAATCGCATCCTGTGGCACCACACGCCGCAGCGGGTGCGCACAGTCTCCGTCTCCCTTCCTCCTTTCACTCTCCCTGAGAACTCATCGGTGGCCGTGGCACACTTACCTGCATGTCAGAAAGCACCTGTTTTTCCTCTTCCCTCGCACATCGCAAAGCAGCACCGCCAAACGCATGTCATCTCCCTTTATTCTACGTATCCTCTTCCGTCAACTCTTCCGATACCTCCGTCCGCCCACCTCCGTTCATGTCGTCTCCCCTTCGGGTGCTCGCACCACACTCACGGTCTTTTTGATTGTTCTCTTCTGGCCGCATTGCGTTCCCAACAGCACCATTGGAGATAATTCCTCGCATGAATGAAGGTTGTTGTCGCAAAGCGTTGTCGCCCTCCTAATCAAAGGGAAACAACAACGAATAAACGCCCGCAAAAAAAACGCATGGCGGTCTTTCCCTACGAATGCGCGAACCCCAACTCATTCCATCCGTTTCCCCTCGCCAGTCATCCATGCCCACAGCTCCGCAAAAGCACGTTTTCACCCGTGATCCCGGAAAGAAATGCCGTTTCCCTCACCACCATCACATCCACACTGGTGCACAGTTGCCGCTCGCACGCACCCTCTTCCACAGAAAAAAAGCCAATCCACAAACAATAAAATAAAAAAGCAGCGCGATGCGTTGACAAATTCCTTCCGTTCCGTCTGTTTCGTGATGAAGCCCCGCCCCCTTGATTATGTATTTCTGTCTCCTCTTCTTGTCACCCACACAAATAAAATGCTCAAACAAAGTCCTGAAAACCCTTTTATATGTCACCGACACCTGCTCTGGGCCCTTGTGTCGCGTCAATAAAAGACCGTCATTCACAAATGCACCCCGATGTTCAAAACAAACACCCGCACCCCGATAATCCTTTAACAGAGTATTAAGAGCAAGCTCAGAAGCACGCACCACCAATACAGTCATAAAGCCCGTAATGAAAAGTCCATTCCAGCACGGACCTTTTTTTTTTCTTTTTAATTCTTCATCGCAAATGGCCATATACGAATTGAACTTGTCCAAACAAAACATTCCTCTGTGACAAATCCATTCTCTTCATGAATCCTTCATGAAACCCCGCCGCACTGGTTAAACTTTCATCACTCAATCGGCCACGGCAAGCAAGAACGGAAACAGCCACATAAGGACAATCATCTGTTGAAGCATGCCTTTGGCATTGTAGACGGATAATCGCACAGAAAAAATACCCATCCAAAAGGAAACTGTACACAATGCGGCTCCTGCACTCTCTAATAAACACCTCACGAAATGAAAATTTGTGTCGCGATTTCAGAGCTCTGAAGGACTCCAAAAGAAAAAAAAAATGAATTGAAGGCAACAGTCAAGCTCAATTTCTACTGAGTCTTTCTCCGCAGGGAGAAAGGGCACCAAGCACACTGCGCTCGACATTCACTCACAATAACACACCAATAAATAAACCAAGGGCAGTGTGGAAATGGCTTTATTCCATTCAGCAGCCCCAGCGGATGATAAAATACAAAAGGGGCCCAACGTAACGATGGTTCCTATCATGGCACCAAACAAAGTCGTGCTTCCATTTCAGGGTGGGAATTAAGGAATTAGCTGCAAGTGCAGAAACCGTCTTCTCCACCCAGCACAGGACGCTGAGTAACTAGCCAGCAGGCCCAGAAAAAACAACATGCAACAAATCGCTCTCAATATTCCGGTAATCTTTTCTCACACCGGGTTATCGTCGCGGCCAACAAGTCCAGTTTGCGCGGTCCGCCTTTGTGAATTCACAATTGTCATCATGATGAACAACCCACAAACATACCAAGGCAATCCATACGTGATGTCCTCAAACACCATTGCAAAACCTTCCAACACCCCCTGCTCCGTGATGCAGATCGTTTCTGGAAGTAAAATCATTCGTGGTAAAGAAGCGCATCCCTCGTCAAAGGCACATCGCCCATCACCCGCGATGCTTGCGCCTCCAACGCCCTCCGCTCATTCGCCGAGAAGGAGACATAATCACATGCAACAGCAACAGTGGCGTGCACGTCACACACACAGAATCCTAATCAACCAAGCAAGCGATATTGAGGTTCGATCCGCTGATGCCTCCGGAAAGCAATGGAAATATTGTTGGGCAGCAGATTTCTCGGACCAAACGCCATCCGCACTTCAGCACATTTCGCGCCAAACATTCGCAAAAAACGCGTTTGGCGTGCGCGTGGCAGACGCAAGAGCAAAAAAGAGATGGAGCACAAAAAAACACTGGACCCCACCCAAAAAAGAGCATTCTTATGTGTTCCCTCGCTTGCCCTCGCATGTCTCATTTCCGTGGGGCGGGCCTGTGGAATATGCGGGGGGCAGCCGGGCCCATCGAGGCGATTCCCATTCTCGAGCGTCATGACCCGCCGTACGCTCCCGAGCACACGTTTTCGCATACCACGCGCCCGCTTTACTTTGATGGCAGTTGCGGGACTCCAACTTCCCCAGTGTGTCCCGCAGTTTCTTGCCCTCTTGCTTTCGCGCTTCGTTTACAATTCATTCCTGGCAATTATTCCTTTCGGGTGGTCGCCTGTTGCAATGATGAGGCGCAATGGCAATCATGATGAGCACCGCCAGCGACACAATTCAGACACATCAGTGGCATGTAGGCTTGGCGCAACACGGGACCCGGTGCTTCGCTGGCCCAATGAAAAGCTGCGGCCCCGTTGCTCTGAAAAGCGCGCGGCACAAGTCGGTATCCCCACGCGGCAATCAAACGGTTCAGGAACAGCGCGTCATCAGAGGCACGCTCGGCAGACCCCACTGCAGAGCCAGTGGGTAAATTTAGAGCAAATTGGCACGACTGCGGCGTGCCATGGCGGACGGCAGGAATCATCTCGCGATATTGTACGGGGTAAACGTCTACAATTCGCTGTGGCAGCCAGGCGCAGAACAGATCGTCAATGGCGAAAAAAGATGTTCGCCACTTGTCTGTCTCAGCCACATTCGCTAAGAATAATCGGCGGCGTTGAGTTTCTTTTGTCAAAGAGTAGAGGATAAAAAAGAAAAAAAAACGCAATATTAGGCAACGCCGCATTTCCCAATGCTCCATGATATGTCAGTTCAAATTTCTCAGAGACGTAAACTCTGTGTAGAAATGACGCCTCATCTCCAACCCGCTCTCATGAGTAAGTGAGATATGTTTGTGTGTGGGGAGAGGAATATAGTATTCATCGGCGCCTTTGATTTTCATTCTCCTCGCCTCTTCTTTTCCGTCAAATGAGTGCCGCGCCCGGCAACTCTGAAGAAGCGCCGCCAGAGCCAAAGATAAATGACCCGACGCGCGTCAAAATATTGCCGAGTGGAGAAAGCGTCGGGAAGAGGACAACACTTGAAATAAAACTGGGAATTTGCTTCAGAAATTCAAAAAACAACACCTCCTGCACCATATTGCATACCTCCATAAGCGTTTTTCTGGAGACGTCGCGAAAACGCACAGTAGGCAGCCTTATTGTGGCACGGTGCAGGGATGGAATGAACGTCCCAATTGGCGAACCACGAAAAAGAACATCTTCAGGAGGCCGCACCCTCCTGTCATAAGTTAGAATGACGCAGATCTCACATATGACCACAGAATTGATTTCAATGCGTCGGTTCCTTGAAAATGGAGAAATGAATGGCACGGCGATTGCTGGACCTGCGTCACCACCCTTACTTCCTTTCTTCTTCATTGTCTTCCATGAATTGTCTTGGCAGTGTGCTGCCAGCTGGTAAAACTGATACAAAAGGATATCGGATAATTCCAACTCTAGCCGTGTTGCATTCACCTGAGCCGAACATGCGGAGATTGCATTGATCAACAATTCCACATCACGCACTGTCATATCAAAACAGAACGGTTTAAGCACATGGCAATTTTTTGATTTATATGTGCTCTGAATGGACGCATTTGACATTGTGTACTGCGCCGTTAACTTCATGGAGTGTTGGACCATCCAGAACTCACTACTTTCCACTGTGAAGAGAACCGAGCTCTCCTTGTCATCACGAATCATAAAGGATAAGTAAGAGACCTTAACATCCAGACGAACCGTAGTTTTCGTTCCAGTTGAACCATCTTCAATCTCCTCCTTCATTTGAGGGCTGATGGTGCAACATGTGTTGTCTTTTAGCAACACAGTTGTATTCAGTGGAACCAGAGACAACACGACCGTGACAGCGTCCTGCTGATGTCGAACAAATGCCATCACCTCATCATCCAAAGCGGTCGAGGTGTTGTGAGTCAACCGCAACACGTACTCTTTGTCCCCTCCAGACAGCTGCAGCAAATCATTACTTGCCAGCGACAAAATAGAAGGAGACGACACCCCCATGGGGCCAACCTCACGGTAGGTGTAAGACGTAAAATTCACGAGTGTCAGGTGCGGCCTGTTGCAGGGCCCACTTACCACCAGCATGGCGGGATCACCAAAGCCCTTTTTATGTATTTGAACCATGTGTTGCGTCCGCCCGCACTGCACAAAACCGCTCCAATCTGTTTTTGAAGAAAATACCGCCTCGACCGGGGCCGAGTAAGAAGACGCCTCGCCATTTTCCTCCCAAGAAAATGTAAACAGGTCCACATACCCGTAGCACGAAATAAATGTGTAGGGAAACACACCCGCAGCCGGCAAAACTACACGATTAACCCATTGCACCTCGCTCCTGAGTGTATCCTTGGAACCAATGGTGTGCTGCACAAACAGGCTACGGGTGGAATCCATGTTGACAATAAACAGCGCCGGAAACAACTCCATCGTCTTCTCTGTCGCGTCAGCCTTTGCACGAAGGAGGAAACAGTGAGAACCACACGGTGCCTCTCTCTTTTCGAAGACATTGCAGAGGAGCATTTGTTCTTCCAGACCCTCATTCACCTCAAACGTCGATGATGTTACTTCCACTACACGCAATACAAGTGATGCATGGAGCGGGAGATAGGCAA